TTTCTCTAAGAATTGGCGCCTAGGTAGGTCGTTAGACTGAAAATTTTATTTCTGCCGAAATTATTTGGGATTTGGCTACATGGAAATCAAAAGAAAGAAGTACTGTTCTGACAGTCTCGCTCTTTCTTCGAGAAACACTCCATATAACAATGATATACTTGCAAATTTTAAGATGTTTCAACCATACTTTTTACAACGTGACTACAATGCGTTTTATTTTTCAATGCAGCACAAGATGTAGTTACCAATGGTACTAAATCTTGGAACATCACCACCTTGGATCGATTGCATCTACAATTATTTATCAACTATGATAAGAACGTACACCCCTCATATCACGGTATACCGACCAATATCACACTGGGCATGTCGGTCAACTACGTCGATATTGACGAAATAAATGGGAAAATGATTTTGCACTCATGGTTAAAGATTGTAAGTGAATAATATCGTTAAGTATACTGCTACAATAAATTTGAACAATTTTCACTAGTCTAATCTAAATATTCGCTTTACAATCTTTACAGAGATGGATTGATGAAAAACGGTCGTGGAACATTGCAGATTACGATAATATAACGCAAATCCATTTAAAACCGAAAGAAGTATGGAAGCCAGATTTAACGCTTTTTAATAGCGCTGGCGACAAGAGTGACTACTTGGGTGATACTCAAATATTATTGTCGAACGATGGCAGCTTCTTATGGGTACCACCAGCCGTATATACAGCCTACTGTAGTTTGAATTTCCGCAATTGGCCCTACGATTCGCAAGTGTGTAAAGTGAAGGTCGGTTCCATGGCGCTGACCTACATCGATGCGCGTTATCTGGATTTGAAGGAGAGCTTAGACTACAGTGACCTAGTCCAATCTACTCAGTGGGAAATCGTTGAAGGCGCTACATCATACCGAAAAGAGGATTATTATAACTACATTGAGTTCAAGTTTAATCTAAAGCGTCGTTCCTCAATGTATACGGCGGTTATCTTTACGCCAGCTTCCTGCATAATATTATTGGCGCTTTCCTCGTTTTGGCTTCCCCCGCAAATGGGTGAAAAAATACTACTGAACGGTGTGCTGATTGTACTCATAGCTGCCTTTCTCATGTATTTTGCACAATTACTGCCGATCTTGGCCGATAATACACCGCTTGTAGGTTTGTATTAACATACATACATGTATAGTATATTTCTATATTATATTAAACTATGTTAAAAATTCTCGAAATCGAATTACATCTTTACAAACCCCCAGAAGCGGAATATTAGAAGCTCTAACTCTATGGCTGAGAATATAAATCAATTTGTGAAGCATATTTTCCTGGATTTATTTTGCTGGATTGTTGAAGCGTTTCGACGTCATATTTATAAGCTCACGTCGCATCACCAATAATAATGAATTTGATGAAAGTAGGGTCAGTTACGTTATCAAGCATCTCATTTGCGACCTCTACTTGACGTCGTTCTTGCCAAAGATTATGGGTCTTTTTGTACGAACGTAGTATTGACACGCTGCCTACCCAAATCATTAACCAAAATGGTTGAGTCGATCTACTAGAAATGTCGAGATCCTCTGCTATCTATCTAATCCCAACACTACGATTTTCAAGCACTGTTGCTTTATCTTTTATGTTATCGATGTTATCGTCATTAACAGTGGTGGATGGTCGGTCGACTCGCGTGACGCAAGTTTTTGATAACTTCACGACCTTTACTGAATATTTTGTGCCACTCAAATATTTGTGTTCGTGATAAAATAGACTCCTCGAAACACTTCTGTAACATTTACAACGATTCCGTAGCTGTGATTCCATTGAAAATATAAAATATTAGGCAAACTCATAGTTCAGTTTTATTTCTGAAAATCTGGAATCTCTAAAATCGCCAGACAAACTTTTCGCGTCCTAAACAAACAACTGCCAAAATCACAGTAATTGAAATTTGGAGGTCAAACTACACACGAAGATAAAAAAGCTTATACCAATCTAGGAAATTTTTTTATGTCGCTTCGTTTTGCGCGCGAATTTTAATCGAACCAGTCCGAGTTAAATTTGATATCGCTTAATACCTGAAATATTTTAAATGAAACCAATCCAGACCTTCCCCAGCCCCTATATAACCAATATAACGACTTTCGACCTTTCGGTTGACTTTATATGGTGTTATTGGTCAATGCGTGTGATTTAGTCGAAAATAAATGAAATCAAGCCAGATCTTAGTTTAACTCCAGGATTATCGGTTCCCACAGCAACTTACTTGTTAAGCTTTGAATTAAAAATTGTAATATATTAAAGTCTCTTTTACTTTCTTTCAGTACTCTTTTACAGCTATAGCTTGCTGTTGCTTAGTATCTCCACGATAATTGCCGTGTGTGTATTGTATCTCTCCTCGGCGAAGCATAAACGTCGCTTACCTGACTTTGTCAAAAACATACTCAACGGGCCGTTGAGCAAAATTCTTCTACTAGAAAACTTCACATTGGAAGCGGAACCGCACGTGACCATGAATAACGGCACAAAAGAGTTGGTCGAACATCAATATGAGAATCCGGACGGCATAACTGATGCAGCGGCCATGCATGCAACCACATCGTCTTCTGCTAATCGTTTCATTCAATTTGAATGGATTTTATTGGCCACAGCTATCGATCGTATTGCCTTTTTATGTTATAGCATTACTTTCATAATTTTGTCTATTTTATATGCTGTATAAGTTAAATAGGCTTTAGTAAATTATGTTTCTATGATTATTACCAAATACCTATTTGTAAACTTACATACTTATATATATATGTACATATTGTTTTGAATAAAATTAAATAATAATAAAAAGAAAATGTATAAAAGTCTCTAGAAGTATTAGTGGTTCCAATCACATAACTTCTATTCAGGGTGGCAAAGAATACTTTAAAAAGACTTGAATTGAATAAACATTTTAATTAAAATCGTAATCTCGATCGCACAATATCTGAGCATACTCATTATATCCGAATTCCCTTCGTTCGTACTAGTGCCCCCCTTTTTGTGTAAATTGTGTGTATAAATATTTTTACCGTTTAATTTGAATTTTCCGATGCCAAGTTTTTATGTGTTCAGTGAACTCAAAAAGTATTATAAATTGTTATTTGTATCAATATAAATCATTAATTTTCAAATGATCTGCAATAAACAGAATATCTTTATACAAAATAAGTCTGGCATACAAATGAGTTACGGCACTCTTACTGCATTTTTCCATTTATAATTCCTCGTAATGAAACCCATATGAGTACCCATCATATCAAGTTCCATTGGCTTTCAAAATATTTTTCATTAAATACCCAGCAAGTCACGACTACTGTGGAAACAAACACATCTAGTTGTAGAAGGTTCAACTTATTAGCCCTTTGCGTAACTAATAAAGGGGTAAAAGATCACACGTATGAGTTTCGGTTAGTTTTGTCAATTAGGCTTTAAAAACTCATAGAAACTGTAACAGAAATCTCTGGTAACACTCTAGGTTAATCAGCCTGTGATTTAACCGATAGGTAGGATGGTGTTAAAAACGAAAAACTGACACTTGCAAAATTTTGTACGTATTTAGTATATATTTAAAAATTTGATTTCCGATGTAACATATTTTCAGCATATGTACAACAAATAATTGTGTTGTTATCAATGGTAACTATATTATATTTCTTATATCGCTAGAAATTTCATTAAAATTAAACAACCATATATTAACCTTAAAAAAACTAAGCTTATAACGAAATATTTAAAAACAAAAGCCGTGGCGAAAGTTTAATACGAGTATAAGGTCTAGTAAAGAGAAACCCATTATTTTTTCAAACTAATGGCTTTAGTAATCTACATCTCGCGTTGTATAAGCTGCCTGACGCAGTATTGTTTGAGCATATGTCAAAGAAAGACACCAGCAACGGCAAAATTCGCAATATATTATACTATAGTTTATCTTCGAATAGCGTTTTTGGTCCTGATACTGTAACACTCAATCACGCGAAATTTTGGTTTCGGTGTAATTTTGATGTCAAAAACGCATCAGGCTCTCTAAGTATCCACAAAATAATGAAAAGCGTCGAGTCCAAGACGGTCGAGCTTTGCGATAGCCTAAGAGCTAAACATAACACAAAAAACCATTTGGGCCCATTTGAAGAAGGTTAAATACAAAACAATTCAGTGAATGTGAGCCAGACGAGTTAAGGCAAAAATACATCATTGACCAAATTTTCATCTGCGAATCGCTGCTGAATCGTAAGAAAATCGATCCATTTTTGAAGCAGATGGTTGCTGGTGATGAAACGACAACGTCAATATCGATAAGCCCGCGCAAACAGTGGCATGACAGAATGACATTCTGGAAGATTTTGTTATGTGTTAAGTGGGGTTGTTGGGGAATCATTTAATATGAGATCTTCAAACTTTTTGTTCAGACCTGTACTGTCAGCAATTGGATCGTCTGAAAGAAGAAATAGCTCAAAAGCGGTCAGTTTTGGCTCATAGAAGCGAAATTTTGTTCCATCAGTACAACCTTAGGTTTCACAATCGATAGTGACTCCCCAGAGCTTCGAGAACTTGGTTGAGAAGTTCTTATGTATTCACCTTATAGTTCGGACCTGGTACCACTAGATTGCTACTTGTGAAAAATTCGCCTCAGGAGTAGCTTGTCGACTGTCCTAGCCTTTTGTCAATAGGAACGAGGGTTATAGAGGGTATTCTGAAATTACCTTAAAAATGGTAAAAAATAAAACAAGTTATCGAACAAAACGGCGTACATTTGACCTGATCGGATCATTCTAACTACGTTAAATAAAACTTTGAGTTTAGTGCAAAAATAATGGGTTTTTTACTAGACCTGTTATATATAAAAAATGTATATTTACTTCCAAAATTAATTTGCACAAGAATAAGAACATATCATTATTAATTTAATAATGGTTTAGTACATATTTATATATTTATAAGCCCGCACATGAAATCATATTCAGAAGCAAAAAATATATATATTTATAAAAAAAAAATGTAAGTATTTATTCATACATATGTTTATAAAATAAAAGAATATATACAAATAAAATTATATTTATACAAAAATTTGCTAAACACCTAATTGCCAAGACCAAATTTTGGTAAATTTTTGATTAGTATAGTTCAAAACTAAAAGTTTAAACTTTTTTTTTAACATTTTTAAATTTCTTCCGTAAATAAAAATGTAAAATCACAGTTAAATAAATTAAATAACCAATTATATTACAAATTTCTTAAAACTATAAGTATCTTTTATATCTAACTAATATAATGCAAGTTGTACACACAGAAAACGCATTTAAAACTAACAAATTTTATTAAGCAAAGCCTTAATTTAATATCAACGGACATATGTACATACAGTGAATGTATGTATGTAGGTAAATATGTACATTTAAATAACAAAGTTTATAGGAAATATCATTTTGCCCCACCTTACTATATAAATATTATAATATTGCAATTAGTATTTATGCACACACACATGTACATATGAATATACAAATATGCCTACAATTACAAATTTATATTGTGCAATATTACTTCAGTTAATGCCCAGAGGTTGCTTTACACTACTTAGAAACTTATACTTACATAATTTCTCGATGGGCTAGTATTGCTCTTAACACCCGGCTATTATGCAAACTTACATACATACCTTTTTACTACTCTAAATACAAGCTTAATCCCCTTTCCATAAACGGAAAAAGGTGCACACAACTTTCGCTGCGGGTGGCATATTTTGGTCATAATATAACCAGTGGACCACTTAAATACATTACAAATATGTCCTAAGTCAAGTGTTAAGTACCTTAAATTACACATCGTTCTAGAGTTAATTAAACGTATTAGGCGGTGGACGTGAGTCATAAGAGCCCGGCGTATATGACCAATATGGCGGCGGGCGTGTAAAAACGGGTGTACTATTGTTATTGTTGCCACTACTTGTAGTACTGCTATGCACAACCGTTGTCACAGAACCCGTTGAGGCTGTTGGTAATGTAGTTGGTGTTGGCTGTAACGTTAAATTTGATGGCGATGTTGTGGTTAAGGTTGATTGCTGTGTTTGCAATAAATTTGTACTTGTTGCATTAAGTTGATGCTGATTTGTTAAAGCAATGTTAGGTGAGTTACTCATACCAATAGGTGATGGCATAGACGTGGCAGAAGGTGATGGAAAGCCAAGACTTGATGACGACGATGGTGAGGTGAGATCCGTTTGAAGATTGTGATAATGATGATGGTGTAGTCCCATGGCATGGCTGTGGTGATGATGATGTTTGTAGGAACTCAACATACTTGTTGCGGGATCACAACCCTGTGCCTGCGCTTGACATGCCGCCATCAAGCCGTGAAAGTCAAATTTATAGGCATAACGTTTCCCATGCACTTTAGTCATTATGTTTTTATCGTAGTAATATCTGTAAAAAATAAAACGAATTCTTACAACATAAATTAACAAATAATATGGGAACTTATATTAGGCAGGAAAACCGGAAATGAAATATCCTTAATATAATATTTGAAGAAACAAATTTTTTAGAAAATTTGTTTTTTAAGAAAATAAAACCTACACTCCCTGCTCCCTACACATACACAGCACTCTACTCGGTAAAAACTCGCGCACCCTAGTATAACCCACTTCAATACACCACATTCATACATCACCACACGGGACAACACAACACACCACAGCATCGCGCCTATACACCACCTCAGCAAACAAAAAGGATGGTCTCCGTAGCAGATGCACCTCATTCAAAATAATAGCGATCCTGCGCGCAACTCGATTTTCGATTATACACGTTGATGCGACACCCGTTAACCTAACTCGATCAGCCGAAGAAGAATCCGGCCATTGGCGGAATTCAAAGTGACACATCGCTTTGCTCCCCTTCGAACCCGTTTATCATTTAATCGTAACATTAATATCTTGTTGTGTTATAAAATAAAATTCTCTATTTATTTCGTATCGAAAATCAACCGCAATTTCATTTACATACATATGTATAATATTTAAAGCGAGTGTAAGTGACTTATCAACAATTTAAATTCACTGGTGGGTGTTTCCTAATAAATTGGGCACCCAATTATTCAGAATGAATCAAATATTTTTGGAGTTACAACCTTAAAAAGTGTAGCCGCTCAGCCGCGTTTTACTCAAAAATCCTTTTTTAAAATTGGCTGCAGTTGTAACTCAAAAATAAATCATCCGATCGCTTTGGTTATTTTCTACTTATTTTGTATATGTATATACCTCTGTACAATAACTTTTCAGTTTTTTGACTGTATAAAAAATGTAATTTGTGCGAACCAAAAACCATTTATATTTTTATCACAATTCGATTTTGTTTTCAAAGTCTGCCGTTTCGTTAAATTGGAAATTTTCTTAAAAATCGTGCGTAATAAAATCAATTTTATTTTTGAAAATTCGTTCGGAATGTTCATTAATTATTTATAAATAACACTATATTTTTGGGCGGTCACACTAGGTGTACCTTTAAAGCTCACTATCCGCTTTATAGTTACAAAGTTAAAATTTAAAGCATCCAAATTTTACGAAATTTAATTCCAGTTTTATAAAATTTCCCTCATTAAAGACATGCTACTGAAGACTTAACAGAATATCTCAAAACAAGTTTATGTCATCCTACATTAAATCCTTAATTTTCTTCTTATTCAACTATAAATCAGAATGTGTATTGCTAAAATTTTCATCAATACTGTAAATATTTAAACACGTTTATAAGAAGTTCATAAAACTCGCATGCGATAAATTCTTTCACAATGGCTGCAAACCTCACTATTCATTCGTTGTATTCATACATACTTATACTTACATACATATATTTATGTTACACTTATACCACTCCCCCAGTTACATTCCCACACAAACATATTTCTTTTGCTTTCTTTGATTTTGTTTCGAGTTTTGTTTTACTTCTGAGCGTGTGCGCACCGCAATGAAGGCATTAATGCTCAAATGCTTATTCGCTCGCTCTTGCTTACCTTAAAGCTCTGCTGAGTTTGTCGTAGTTCATATTTGGTTTTGCCTTTCGTTCGCCCCAACGCTTGGCAACTTCATCGGGGTCGATGAGTTTGAATTCACCATTGGTGCCCTCCCATGTTATGCAACTGGCATTAGACGAATCGGCGAGCAGCTCAAGTAGGAATTGCCATAACTGGATTTGTCCCGAACCCTGCGCAACCAATCGATGGGATGCGGCATTTAATAGCTGATACGGATCTGCAAAAGATTAAAGCCAAAAAAAACAGATTAACATATGTTATTATTTACAAATTGTGACAATGGCTACCACACAGATGTACTAAATGCAATTATATGTATGTATGTATATATACATGAGTATATGTATGTATATCTAAGCATTGCTCTGCATACCCACAAACAAATTTTACCTATATCTACATATTTTGGTTGTATATACATACTTATGTATATATATACAAGGAGCGTTCCAAAGTAAACAGTAAAAAAGTATCTCTAGTGGCGCCATCTATATGCCGACTAGTGCGTTAGAATCTGCTATCCTTTGTCGACCATCCAGTAAAAATTTCGTGATATTTCATCTATTGGAAGTGAAGTTATTGCGTTTTAAGTGTCAGTATGTTTTTGTCATCGGTGCGAAAATGAGCTTCGAACAAAAAGCCAACATTATATTTTGTTTTAAAATTGGTAAAACTTTTACCGAAACGTTTCAATTGATGAAACAAGTTTATGGCGATGATTGCCTATCCCGTAGCAGAGTGCACGAGTGGTTTCAACGTTTTCAAAGTGGTCGTGAGAACATAAATGAGAAATGAGCCGAAACCCAAAAAATCGCGGCTGGAGAAGTCAAAAATGAAGACAATGCTGATTTGTTTTTATGATTCCAAGGGTAATGCGGTATTCTACCTTGGCCATCGATCGACGCTTGTGACCGATTATTTGACCAAAAATCACATTTTAACAATCAACAACTTCGCGTATTCACCTGATATGGCACCGTGCGACTTCTACCTGATCGGAAAAATGCATTTGCCGATGAAAGGAAAGCGTTATACAGACGTGGAGGCCATTCAAAAGGCTTGCACCGGAATACTGGCGGCCATACCGGACAACGAGCTAAAACACTCGTTGGACATGCTGTTGGACAAAAGCAAAAAGGTGTATTAAAGCAGAAGGAGACTATTTTGAATCAAATTAAATGATTGATGAACGCACCTTGTATATACAGTTACTTACAATAAAATATAATCAAAATTTTTTTCACAACTATTTGCGAAACCAAAAGTGTTACGACAGTTCTTAAGAGGAAACAATTATTTTTTATAGTTAATAGAATTTATTTTAAACATGTCAAAAGCAAAAACAACGTAATCAAAATTTAAATATAACAGCAGAAAACCTTTAAATGAATTGTCAGGAATTTCAATTGACAATAAGATAAAATCATGAAACCAAAACTCGTAAATAGTAGACTATTATAATTAAAAAATGCATACTTATAAGTTAGAGTTTTGTTGCAAAACCTTTATTTGCGAATAGGGCAGCGCACCTTAACGACATAGATTCCACTAGAGCTTTACAGACTGAGTTCGGTATTGAATACCTCTTGAACTTTCCAAGGCAGTGATAACAGTCGAGCATTTCCCAAATCCAAAACAGTGGTCCAACGCCGTATCACGAAAAACATCTCCATATCATGATATTATCACCTCCGTATTTAAATGTTTTTGGTCGTGTGTCGAGGATTTATTTCAGTATTCTTCAGACGTTTAACTCAATCTTTTCCATCGCTACCTACCATATTTATTGGAATTAGAAATAAAGATACGTGTATAGCCATTAAATTGGGAATTTTATTTAGCCATCCAGTGATCGAACCAAAGACTGAGTGAAAAGGTAGACGATTTATCGAGAAATCTGTTACAATATAGATTGTTAATTATTTCGGAACCATCTATTTGATTATTTTTTATTGTCAGTAACTGTATGTGTGTTGTTATTGTAAGTTTATTAAACCAGATATGTTGTCGAATTGGTTTTATTTAATTTAACTTACTTTATAACCGCAAGAACATAAAAAATTAAAAAGCACACGTAGATAATAATATAATGCTGTGGCTCTTGCTATTTCCGTTGCGTCGTCAACGGATTAGATACGTATGTTATGCACATGTTTATTAACGTCAAAGTGGTTCTATTATAACAAGTAAATATAATAGAATCTCGAAAAAAATAACAAAAGTCTAATAAATAATAGGAGAAACTTCTTAATATTTTGCTTAATAAACCACTTGAATAAAAAACAATGATATCTTCTTAGTATTCTGAGTAAATAGATAAAATCGGTTGATTTTTTTGTTGTTGTTCGAGACTGTCGGTGGAAATCGATAAAAAAAATCATATTCGATCATAGCACCCATACAATAAAATAATTATCTAAGAATTAATAGACGTTAACTAACATTTTTTCAAGGAAAACCGCTCTAAAGAGCTTTAAATGTCTATAACCTCTGACGGCATCATTCTCAAACTTAAATTACCTTCCTGGACCTGATAAATTGATTTATGTCATTTGGCTAATATACTATAGGTGTACCGTGTAAAATGAAATACTAATTTTAAATGAGAAAGTAAAAAAAAACTTATTCAAAGTATTGACTCTACATATTTTGATCACCTTCTGGCAATTTGTTCGTCTTTTGAAGCACACCATTTAGCCAGCCAGTTTTCAACTTAACCGTTATTGAGGTTATCATCCGGTTCCACTTATTTTCTTAAAGTTTGAGAAGGTACAAAAAAGATTTGTCCTGAGCAAATTTGGTTGATATAACTTTAGTGGAATATGTAGATTAAACTTACTTGGGCGCGAAACTTCGCCAACTTTTTAAAAACTTTTGAATCACAGATGCCTCGTCTTGTCATAACTCTATATCTATCTTGTTTAGTTTTAGACAACTTTATGAGAGAGCATAGAAATTTAAATCTTTCACTATATTAATTAATTTAGAAAATACTATCAATAGGACTTTTTAAGATATGACAATTACATAAAACGTTTTGGAATTACAATTTTTGTTTTCAATTCAGATAACAACATCGATACCATACTCATATCTGCCGATGAGATTTATGAATTGCACCTGTACCCGATTTCACCGGCCGTAACATATACATACATATGTACATATACTGTCACTACTACTCTAAAACATCTGGTATTTAACAATATTGATAACAATGCTTTCACAAATTTTGATATATCGAGGAACTTATTTTATGAGGACACTTCAAAAGCCGGACATTTAATGATAACTGTCGTAAAATTATACGTCACGCGGCAAGTGCCTAGAGAAAGCGTGGATCACCGAAGCAATCGAGAAAGTGGTTTAGTCATGCAAATAATTTTGCTTTGTCATGGTTTTCGGAGTTTCCCTAAAAACAAACCAACAGGTGTTTAAGTTATTCCCACACTGTTATTTCATTATCGATATATAATATTATTAGCGAGTTTTGCCAAACCAATTAGACACAATTGTTTGCAATTGTTCATATGTACATACCATACATACATACATTTTTATATGTACATACATACATACATATGTCTACTTGAAGTTGACAACACACTAGTGTGTGTATATTTGTATTTAAAAATGAAAACTTTACTTATTTTTATACCCTGAAGAGAGGATATTAAGTTTGCCACGAAGTTTGTATCACCCAGAAGGAAACATCGGGGACCCTATAAAATATATACATATTATAAATTATCAGCATATTGAGCTGAGCTGATTTAGCCATGTCCGTCTGTATATACGCAGACTAGTCCCTCAGTTTTTAAGCTATCAATCTGAAATTTTGCACCTGTCCTTTTCTCACTAAAAAGCTGGTCATTTGTCAGAACGGCCATATCGGACCACAATAGCATATAGCAGCCATACAAACTGAACAATCACAATCAAGTACTTGTATGTGAAACTTTTTTATTTGGCGTAATATCTTCACGAATTTGGCATGAGTTATTTTCTAAGGCAACACTGTAATCTCCGAAGAAATTGTTTAGATCGGATCACTATAGCATGTAGCCGACATATAAACTGAACGATCGGAATCAAGTGCTTGCATGGAAAACTTTTTTATTTGACGAGGTATCTTCACTAAATTAGCCACGAGTTATTTTTTAAGGCAACACTGTAATCACCGCTGACCGGTCAAAATTAAATTCTTGTAAGGCGCCTTTGTATTTGTGATTATAATACCCAGCTTCGGTACAACCGAAGTTAACATTTTTCCTTGTTTATCATTTTTATGCATTCATCTTTTACATACCACAGTTATAATGAACGAGTGATTGGGGTTTTATTTTGTTTGTATGTATGTATGCTCAATCGGCAAAACTTGTGATTATAGTCATACTTACATAACTATACTTGAATGAATGCATGATACATTTTAATAATTTTGATGATAATAGTAAAGAAAGTGAAACGATAAAAATCTAACGCTATATATCAATGTGACATACACGAAACTCGAATTCAATTTTGGAAGCCACAATTTAAAGCAGGGAAGCCGCATGGGGCCAAATATGGAGAATACAGTGGACTTGGCAGCATTCCGTAGGCTATTAGATTAATTTAGTCGTGGCGATGGTGGAGATGTGAGTCAGTGCGTTGCTTCATGGTCGAAGCAGAGAATGTTAATGAATAATGTATTATATTGTAATGAATTTATTAACATTCTCTGGTCGAAGAACACTTTCTTCTTTGTTACATGTACCCGTTTATTTGTAATCGGTCATCGAATGGAACCAATAGTCTGGCACAGTTAAGCCCTGTGGCCACTTGGCCCTTCTTTAAAAGATCTTTGTGGATTATACCTTGTGCATCTTTTCCTCTGAGATCGTGAACATTTGCCATGTTATCCTTCGTCTTATCCGTTTTTAAGGCATATGGGCGTGGCTCATAAAAAACCCAGTGTGTGACAATTCTGAAACTCGTGCAGCAAATGTTTGACGTTTTGCATCCTTTCAAATTCAAGAATCTAATCACCGACCGACTGACCGATATTGTTCTCTCTAATCATCCCGCTTGCACAAGCGATGACAAAAAATCTAATAAATAGTCTGACTCGGATAAAATTTTGGCCCTAGCCGTCTACGAGAATAAAAATACTTTTTTTTTCGCTTGAGGAGCTATCAGGCAAATTGAGGCATACTTGTCCAAATTTTCCAAATA